CCCTAGTAGAACCTACGGTTTCACTATGATCAGTGCTCTTCACTGTGAATATTTTGAGCCTACCTGTCAAGATATATATGAGACTCTTATTAATATTCTTTGGGAAATGGTCTTCTTTTTACCTGCTTAGGCTTGCTATGGCTGGTTAGCTTGGCTTTCTTGGGCTGGAATTCAGGACCGGCTATACAGCTGACCAAGGCATGCATACCATGTGGGCAGGCACTTTGATTCTGAGCTTTTGGAAGCTCGTGTAGTTTGCATTCACCCAAGTGAACCTCAGTGCCCAGGCATTTAATTTGATGGATCCAAAAGGTATTCTTCTTGCTCAGGCTTTTTAGGCTGCAAAATAAGGGAAAGAAAAGATTACTGCCTTTTGTCAGATAATAATCCCTCTGGCGATCCTCCAGAAGGCTTTTTCCATGGCTGAATTGAAGTGTTATCCACCCATCCTTGAGTTCGCAGAAAACTGTACCAGCGTGAAATTTGCTGTCCCCACTTACTATCCTGTTTCTATTGCCTTTGTTTCAAGTCACTGGAGTCACCTGACTTTGCTCCAAGGTGACAAAGTCTAACAAAATTTATACGGCTTGAGTCAGTCCTTCATCGGTGTCAGCATAAGGAAGAAACTAATGTAACTGACACATGACTTCAACCTGTCCCATTCATGGCTGGTAAAGAAAGGATGGCAGCATTATTGAAACACAGCAGAAAAGGGCCAAGTAAGCGCCATTGTTAGGCACAAATGAGGAAAGGCATTGAAATTTAGTGAATTAACTGCTTAAAGGCCCAGGAAGCAATCATGAAAAAAAAAATACTAGAGGCTCTAGAATCTCCTTTTCCCAAATATTGACTAATGCAAGGTAATAAAAAAAATGAGCCAACTCCTTACCTGGACCTTGGATCCTTTAGTTTCTGATTCCAGAGTTTCCTGAAAGATTAGATGATCGAATATTAATGCACTTTGGCAGGAGCATTAAAAATTCCATTGCAGAAGCAGTGGATACATAACTCAGATTCTTCACTGTGTGTTGACAATTTTTTGTTGACTGTTTTTAGGCTGTTGTTTTTTTAAAAGAACTCGCCCTGAACTCTCATTTCCATGAATTACCAAGTAGGCTGAAGTTATAGTCCTTCATATTCTCATTTGTTCTTTTAGGAAAGGTGACAGCACTATCCGCAGCAACTAAATTACCTAAAGCCCCTGCCACTCCTGAGCCAGTATCTGCACAAATGTTCCCATAAATAAACTGCAGAGCTATGGATATCATCCTAGAAAAAAGAGAGTACTTGAAGATGATGGAGACCAGAGCTTTAAGTACATCTTTACTTATGTGGTCAAGAAGAAAAAGTGTGTCCACAGATCCTGTTGGCATTCAGAGAACGCGCTCATCTTCCTCTGCCACTGCCCCATCAAACATGGCTGTGTATGGGATCTAACTTTGGGAGGACACACCAAGTTAGGATGGTCTAGACCAGGGTCCCCAAACTTGGCAACTTTAAGACTTGTGGACTTCAACTCCCAGAAATCTCCAGCCAGCTATGCTGGCTGGAGAATTCTGGGAGTTGAAGTCCACAAGTCTTAAAGTTGCCAAGTTTGAAGATCCCTGGTCTAGAACAGTGTTTTTCAACCTTGGTGACTTTAAGTCCTGTGGACTTCAANGGCACTGTAGATTTGTGGAACTTCTTCTATAGAAGAGGTTAGAACTGGCAGGAACCCACCCCTGTGTGGTAGCCTATATATACCCCATATCCAAGTAAGACATGGTCTCAAGAGCTCTTTATCCATTCCAAACATAGTTTACTCTTTCTTAGGTCAGCTATACTTTCTCTTTTGAGGTGTTTAGCAAAAGTAGCCCTTCTCCTTGTATTATTCATTTCTCTCCCGGTTTTTTTTTTAGCCAAAGAACAGGATCTTACTTGACGTCGGACATCAGTTTGGGGCACATTACAGCGGACGGCAACATCATTGTCATGCCGGCATCCTGTCTGAGCTGCTTTTTGGGACCTGCAGTCCATCAGGGATCGTTCATGTCCCCTGCACCGCACTCTTGTTAAATGGATGGGACCTAGTCCTGTAACATGAATTATTCTTGATAGGAGTTGTGCGTCATACACACTATGCCCCAAATTCTTCCCCACCTCCACAATTATCAGTCTGATTCATTCTCACTAGAGAGACATGGATCTTCCTAGTCCCCATTCTTTTTCTTTCGCCCCACAACTCAGTCTTCTCCAAATTCATCCTCTTCTTCCCATTCCTGAAATTTATCTCTGGTATTGCAGAACCCTTTCTGGATTTTACTTGCTTCTGAGAAACTCCATGAAATGTTTCTTAGGAGTAACTTATCCAGAATCTTCCTTCTCCTTCCATATTTGTCAAGGATTCAAGTTTCCTACTTTGAGCCTTAGGACACCCACCCACCCCCTCACTTTATGATTCCCCTTCCACTCACCTTGGCCCAACTGTGCTCCTGAAAGAGCTTCTCGTGCAGTGCCGTAACCTAATTGCCGACACACCACACTGGCAGCAGGTAGATTCCAGCCTTCATCACACACAGTGCCCCACTGGTTACCAATTAGCACTTCCACACGCCCTTCGCCTATGTGTGCACCTGCACGGAGACGCACCTGGGGTTCCTGCCGGAATGGAGACAGAGATTAGGGACTAACAAATAGAAGGAGTGGTATTTATGAAAGATGGACTTTTGTTTTCGGTCAACAGCAAAGAGTGAAACCAGTGGGCTTCCATCTAAGGTTTTTAACTTGCAGTTCTCCTCTTTCATTCTTAACATTTTAAGGTTTTTAACTTGCAGTTCTCCTCTTTCATTCTTCACATTTTATGAAAGTTCTAAGGCTACCCAGATGTCTTCCTGAAACTCATTGGTCTTTCAACTGCCATTCTAGGATGGAGCAACTATATTGGATCGATTCAATGAAGCACTATAAACCCTTTGAGTGAAATCATCCTATACAATACAATAGCAGAGTTGGAAGGTCTTCTAGTCCAACCCTCTGCCTAGACAGGAAACCTTATACCGTTTCAGACAAATGGCTATCCAACATCTTCTTAAACACTTCCAGTGTTGGNGGACTTCAAGTCGCCAAGGTTGAGAAACATTGTTCTAGATGTTGACCCTGGGGTGCTAGTCCCCACGGAATTGATGCACAAGCCAGAGCCAGAAAGGGCAGGTTCTGATCAATCCCTGAGAAGCGCAGCCTTCACTGTATAATTACCCCACTGTGGTTTGGCTGAACCCCATGGTGAGACGGCCCTGGCATCCACAACTGCTTATTGCAGGACTGTATTTAGAAAGAGAATAGTGGGTGGAGTATAGAAGATGGACAGAAGGAAACAAGGGCATGGAACAACCAGTGTGTGGGGAGAAAAAGAACCCACAAAACCACAGGGATTGGACAGGCCTCTTCTTGAGAAACAAAAGGAAAATTTTTAGACGAGACAAACAGAAACACCCCCGTTTTCTGTACTAAAGAATTGCCTGATGCTTATGCTGCGCCTTATGTTGCCATTAAAAGGAGGACCCTCCGTTTTATGCCTATCTCTTTCTTCATCGCAAATATAACATTGTACATGTCGCCCTTTGTGCTTCTCACTCGTACCTGTAGAATCTTGTGGCCACCTGTCCATCATAGGGGAATCCCAGCATCCCACACAGGACACGAGTATTGTTTCGAGTCCAGCCAGCATCGCACACCTGACGCCAGCGCCCCTGGAGCTTCACTTCTACCGCACCTTCTGTGACCGGGGAACTTAATTTGGCCCGGGCCAGTATCGGCTTGATCCGTACCTCTTCTACCTTTGATCCCTACCCAAGAGAAAGAATGGACATTACTCTGCTTTGGGATTTGCTGTTAATGAAAAGTGAAATAAATCCTCGAATGCACATGCTCAGCCACGGCGCAGGGGACAAAACTAGCTGATCTTCATTTCACCGCATGATTACATTTCTATGGCCATTGATCTCAGCAGGACTGCCAAATGTGCGCACATAGGATTTGCTCCAAATTATCATTATAGAAAGGAAACAACCCCAGTCTCTCATCAGGTCCTCACCTGCAGCTGGATATGTGAAGCAGCAGAATTGAGTCGACGGGGCCCTGTGCACACCACGCCACTATCTTCATTGTGGTTACAATCAGTTACTCCCCAACCATTGGAGGCACATTCAACCAGGGAGCTTTCAGTACCTGAGCAGCGCATGTTGTCTAGCCAGATGGGACCTGTAGATACATAAGATCAGAAGTAGAAGCCCTGGTTGCTCTTCTCAATGTTTCATTTTCCCCAGCCTGATCTCACACTGCCTTTCCTCGGAAAAGCCATACTATTCCCTGTTTATACTTATCGGCTTTGCCCGTCTTTCAATTCAAACACCACTTGTAATGGATCATTTCGAGAAATCAAGCAAATATTGTTACATCAGAACCAATAATTTTATTTCTATATCACCCAAAAGAACTTCTTGCTAAATACATATTTGGTGAGGCATAGGAGAAGTGTAGGAAAATGGGAAACATCTGGATAGAGATCAGACTAGAGCAGTCTTCCCCAACTATGGTAAATACCCTCCAGGTGGAATACAATCCCCATCATTCCCCATCAGAACAGCTAATAACATTCACATTCCAGTATATCTGAAGAGCATACATTGAGGAAGGCTGGATTGGTGGACAAAAATGCCCAGAGAATGTGGGAAATCTGGTTTCATAAATTCTCATCCTAAATACAAATGTATTTAATTTAATTTACATTAATTTAAGATGAGCACACTATTGCCAACATGTTACTTTTTTATTAGACTTTGTCCCTGTCTTCTTTTGGCAATGTTTGCCACTTACAGATTTTCACCTGAAGTTGAAGTGAGCATAGCCCAAAGTATCCACAGTATTGTAAGAGCCCACTTGTTATACAGAACTGTTTTGCTATTTCTTGCTGAAAGAGAAGAATTATTGTGTAATGTGTGGGATGCAATCTCCCCTGTCTTTCAATTAACGGTGGATTTGAGCCAAGGAAAAGTAAAATCTTGCTGGTTAACATAATCCCAGGACTTAGAACAGGAAAATACGTAGCCCACTTACTTGAAAACTACTATAGAGCTTAAAAATTTAGACCAATAATTTGAATTCTTTCATACCAAAATACCATCTTTATTAGTGAGTTTCCAGCTCTTGCACTGAAAATGGGTATCGCGACTCAGGTCCAAGAATTAAAAAGTACTTGAGATCAACCACACTCTCCATCCTTTCCCGTCCTTACCATCTCCTGAGCCATATTTGGCGCTGTGAGCCCAGTTTATGGCCTGATCATAGCCCAGCTCTCTGCAGGCCACATTTGCCACATGGATGTTGAAGTCATCATCACACACTGTGCCCCACTGTCCTTTGTACAGCACCTCCAGCCGCCCTTCACCTGCTTGACTCCTGGGCCCCACCAAGCGCAGCTTAATTTTGGGATGGTTTGCCCAGCTAGGTACTTGAAGACATAGGAGGAGGAAGGTAAGAAGATACCCCTGCAGAGGGAGCATCTCTGGTCCAGTGCTGGTTGAGACCCCTGGGAGGCAAGGAAAATTGATAAAGGAGCATGGAAAAAGAAAGGGTTAGTGGCACTTCTTATCAGAGGATTCCTCTTTTTTAAAATGGACAAGACAATTTATAGCAGCAATATAAAAATAACCAGGAGGAAATGTGTTGTTGCTTTTTTTTAAAAAATCAGGAGTAGCAAATAATCATGCATTGTAAATTATTCATTAAGCACTTAGCAATGTGGACTCATTTTAAGATGACCCCCACCCTTCCTCACCAGAAGGAGAATGACAATGGGGGAAGCAGGCATTGATGAGCCTGCCAAAGGCAGAGCACAGCAGCCCAACCACCCACAAGAGCAGGATGGGGCCTCGCCATCTCCTCCAATATCTTGCCACATCAGTAGAGTGAAATGATTGGTTGCTTTTCTATATTTGTGACCAGGATTTTGAGAGGCTGCAGGGGACGTCCGATTCCTATCTGAACACACGGATGCCTTTCCATGCAAAGCACAGCAGACGCAAGTCCATCCCCATCTCACTGTGCCCATTGATCTCAATCTAACATACTTCACTGAGGGCTTTGAATTATCCATTCCACGCTGCTTTGGACTGGGCTAAAGGACAAATTGGGCTTCTTCCCCTATATTCAGTTCCAGAGGAGCTTCAGGGGCACTTAACCAGGGCAAGTCAGAGGTATAGAGTATTTTATCAGCAATTAGCAGCCTTTTTAAACTGTTTTTTTTGTGGGGGGGGTATCTATTTCACGATTCTAGCCCATCTTCAACTTTTGATTCAGTCCTTCCAAGTGAAAGAAATTGTGTGAAAGCAGACGCCCCCACTCCCCAACTCCACCTCCCTGCACCCCAGACAGCAGCATCCCGAGTCGGTCTTGTAGGCTCATCAGCCAGTTACTCACGTGCAGTCTCTGAACGTGGGGAAGAGATGCTCTCAGGAGCCCGACAACTTCTTGTCAGAAGCTGGACCTCCGGGGGAGGGGGAGGCTGGTCGCCCGCTACAAAAACCTCTGGCTGACAAGAGACCCTGGCGAAGAAAGCGGCCGGCGCAAGTTTTGCCAGCGTCCCGTCCCGTCCCACCCTTTTTATCCGCGGCATCCGCCCTTCGGCTCTGGCTCCTGCACGGATCTGGGCAGGGCGGGCGAGCGCCTCACAGTACCCGAAAGGACGCCTCCCCCAGAGAGGTGAAAAAAAGGTGCTTTTGGGTCTTCCCGGACAGGCTTCTCTCTCCCCCCCCCCCATCATGTCCCAAAGGACCCGCAGAACCTCAACAATAAAGCTATCCTATTATATCTCTTGTGTGTGTGTGTGTGTGTGTGTGTGTGTGTGTGTGTGTTTCAGGCGTCTTCACCTGTTGGGTTTCTGCAGTACTTAAAAACGTTAGCAGCAGGAGGGGCAAAGGGGCATTTTGCAAGAGGAAAAGGGTAGGAGCAGCGTGGGTAAGGAGGGACGAGTCACGTTTCAAGGATGGGAGATTTGCAGGATGCAGGTGCCCCACGATGGGTGCGCCTCAAATCTGGGACCTCATGGACTGATCAGGCCATCAGAAATACAAAACGGATTTTTGTGAAAGGCT